CCACCCATGTCGTCTCGGTAGTCTGAGAACTTGTCTCGAGCAAAGCAGTCTTTTGACGAATCTTCCATCGAAGCGGCAGGTAGTGGTAAGTTGTGGAGATATTCACACTCGTAGCTACGGGGTATTTAGCAGGGGCATGAATGAATGACATAGTACTCACCCATACGGACAGCAGCCTCGAGCAAAGAACAAACAACAATACTTGACCCCCGTCGTGTTGGCCCTCGTGTAGCCCGCGTCCCGTTTAATGTTGCACCTAGTCTGGGATTTGACTTTGCTAGTTGGGTGGTTAGTATAGCACTAGAGTAAGCAAAGCTAGTACACACTTGGAATAGCTATCTTCCCTATCGCCTCCAGCCCACTTGTTGTACCAAATATCTACGTTGGACCTCAGCGAGAGCTCTCGTGGCAGTCCCAGTCGTACTTACTGTACTCTTTCCCAGTTTGTGGAGTCTCCTTCCTTTCTACCTCGCCAGGTTTGACTTGTTTTCGCGCCGGCTTGAGAGGCGCGGCGGGCTTGGTCTCGGCCTCTGCCCCGTTTTCTGACATGGTGGTGGTGGGTAGAGAGTGCAGCTGTCGGGAGGCACGCTTGTGGCACCATGTCACGTGTTGGTATGCACATATTTGGTATGTGTACTTAGCAACGCTAACGGCTCGTGGCAAAATTCGTGGACAAAATAGAGAGAAGGGGAAGACGGGATTATGGGACAACAAGATATGGAGCATGGGCAAGTGGGGGTATGCACGAAGCCCAAAGGCTGGGGTATAGGGCTATAGAGAGCGACACGTATCTACGAGTAGCTGTAAAGCTAGGGTTTGGCTGCCAGACGATTAGATGCAACCCGACGAGCCTTGAGGTGAGGAGATATCGCCTACAAAGGAACAGAAAGAGGACGCAAGTGGGATGGCGTGCGACAATGTCACGTGCTGGTATATGCGTGCGGAACTCGTCTGTCCACCATGTCCCACAAGTAGACTGCCTGTCTTGTGCGTTACCGACCAAGAAATACAGGCTGCAGAGGGTTAATTCCCCCCAATATACTCCCAAAATACGAGCGATTGCGATTTCACATGGTTAATGGACATAACTCCCGTTTTCTAGTTTCAGACAAGGGATAGAAGCTCAGTGGTTGAGCAATCGATTGCAGTATTACATAATATGCTTACATAATCGATAGGCCGCGTGTTCGATCCACGCCTGTCCCTCTCCTTTTTGGGTCTAAATCACTCTTCAACTGTTTGCCAGGGGGTCAGGGGCTTCCCCCCCGCTTTCCCCCCATTTTTTCGATTTTTTCTTTCCCAGCATGAATAACCACCTACTGAGACATTACCTAGAGCCACTGGGACTGTGAGTACCACTGTGTGCAAACTGTGTAGTGAAAGCCAGCAATATAGTGTGCATACAGTATGCAAGAAAACCGGTCGCAAAAAATCGATTTTGGAAAAGATGAATCAATAGCTCAACATCTGGGCATTATATCACGTCGTATGATACACCATTTGATAGCCCGGGACAAGGGCTATCGAACGCATATATATACATCCGAAGAGCGTAAGAACTGACGGATTTATGGATGTAACAAAACCGCTGGTCTATGCGACCAGTTTTCTTGCATAAATTCACAACCATGTATGCCACTCTCATTCCTCCCTATTTAAGAAAGCTGAAATCTTGAGGGCTATATGGTCCGGTAGGGCTATCTTAATGATAGCATATATGAGATATTCAAGGTGCCACTCAGCCCTGAACTAGAGGTAAATGCATTGAACCCTCCTGATAGTATATTTAGATTTCAGCATTGCTTGCACTCCAGCATAGAGCTAGAGACAGGTATAGGTGAGTCTAGGTGGTACCAGCGGGCCCAAAGTACTCTCCTGAGTGCTTCCAAAGCTACCCAGAGTCCATTGGAAATGTTTTCGAAACAGTTGGACGTGCATACAGGAGGCCTGGTGGGCAAATAACTGGATGTTTCAACCTATCCAGTGGTTGCTATTGATAGTGACTGTGCTGTTCTAACACTTTACTATCAGCCTGATCTTTTTCACACTTTGTCTGAAGGTTGCAGGCGGGTATATACCCTGTGGGGGTGCCAAAATGCGAAATAAAATATAATGCACAGGTGTTGAGCTATTGATTCATCTTTTCCAAAATCGATTTTTTTGCGACCTATTTGCTTGCATACTGTATATGCTGAAGTGAGCAGCAGCAGTTTGAGGTAGGCAGTCTTAATACACTCAACTTAATTTCCCCGACCAAAGCCAGCTATAATCCCCGAATCCTTTAGGCAAACTCCCTAACTGGCTCATGCGGATTTTTATTGAGCAATTTAAGTCATTTACTCGATGGACAACTTGTGTCAAGGGAGACTCGGGGGGTTGGTGGCGCGTGACCAACCATCCCGGATGTTTGTCGCCAAGGAGGCGCTACTTCAAACATTTGTGTCGGTTAGAGTTATTTCGTCCTGAATATAACCATCTAGCCTTGTGCGAGTACCTAGATCTAATGGCATATGCATATGAGTGTGGTGATTGTGGATAGTGCAGGATACTACTGTATCGTCTCAGCCGCCTTTTATTGAGTCGCAGGCACCTGAGTGACACATGACCCTTTCCGCTTCGAGTACGCGCGACTCGCGAGTACTTGCGCTTCCTCCCTTTTGCCCCACTCTCCACCCCCTTTATGCGGTCATTGGCGCAGTAACTGCTCACCCAAATCCTAGCGTCCCGCTGGGATTCGGGAGCTCGTCCACCAGGTGCCGCTATCTCCGCAGGATCCCCTGACTACCATAGCTCCCTTACCGCATATATTCTAGCATGCATTAGATACAGGCTCTCTACCAACATATTCTACCAACCTTCGACTGATCGCCAGAGACCCTATGTGAACCTTTAATCTCAAGCAAGGCACCCAACAGCTTGAAGCATGTTGGATCCTTTGTGCTAGGTACTTAAGATCCCGTGGTATGTTGGCCGGTAGCTGCCGTGGTGAATGAGGTCATATAAGGGGCTCAACAGAAAAGCGCCATATGTACCTCTTCAACGTCCTCTCGATACTTGTTTTCTGCGCATTGATAAAGCTACCAATAGCAACGACCACCATCCCAATCGATACCATCAGAGGGCACATAGTCGCGCAAGTATATATCCGTGCTCGCTTCAGCCATGTAAACCGTACCCCCTTCAACAGGGGGAACTGTCACCAGGAACGAATTCCCAGCGCAAGTCTGCAAGCAGGCTTGATAATTTCTCTTGTGCAACTTCGGCTTGACCTTATTGCCAGCATACATGATGTACCTGCGCGGCAATTGTGGTATCGTTTGGGGTGGCGCTAGTGGCGCTGGCTCAGTTTGTCAATCAAAACGCTTGCACCCTGGCCAATCGTGGTCCAGTGGCCAGTACAACTTGCGGTCATTACTGGTGTATCGGATGATTCCCGACCATGAACCGTGCCAGCATTCGATTGTCTACAGCTCCACGCTTGCTCCTCGTTTTTGCCGTGAATTTTACTGCTGGCATGCCCCGGTATCTGGGACGCCTTGAAGGATATGTACATAAATTTGGGTCGTAACTACGCGTATGTTACCCCGCATAACGCCAATCACCTGCCCTTTTTTTTCCCCCGATAAATACAGCTATTAAGCCCACGAGGTGGTGGTTGTAGAACTCCTACGCACGTTCTTAAATGGCCCTGCCTCCCTTTGCAGCCCATAATGCGTGAGGACACCCTGAGACTCTAAACAATGATGGGGCTGGACGTCACGGGGCGTAGGCTGATCTGACAGGTATCGACCAGCGTGCAGGGAAGCAGGCCAAGGGACTGGTCCTGGGGTGAACTTGATGTTCTTTGCCCCATTTCGCCAACTGCCTTACATAGTCTATGGTCGCGTGGACGGGCTAAATACGGTCCTAGGAATGCATTGCTCAAGTGCAATCCGCCTGACGTTGCAAGAAGTTGAGGTTGCTTGGCTAAGCTGTTGCAGTCATGCAAACCACGACCACGATGTCTCCCAATCAGCCTTGCCTAATCAAACAACAGCATCCACTACCTACACTAGTCTTTTCGAGTACTGAGGTATCCTTTCACTCCAAAGCTTGAGATGTTTGGTGCCCATCCAACGATTCAGGTCATATTAGTCCGCATGCTAATTAGGGGCGACGCGTTTTGTTGCCAGCCTCGTTTTGTCGTGCCCTCTGCACTATTTGTATTTTGAGATCGTTCCTCTCGCACGTAAAGGGCGAGGTCACTCGGCGGACGCGGCCCGATTGGATAGGGCACTCAACGTTCTTCACACACCGTTGCAAGGTATTTTATATTTTGAAATGCAGGCAAAGAAATTCGTTTATTGCATGATTTGGAGTAGGTCGTCGAATACCGAGTCATGCATCCTATATAAAAGTCTATTTCACAGTTTATTGCGGCTAACTACCACCTAATTTTGTCGCATGTATGCGCCCACGGAACAAGTGGGGCTTGGTCTCCAATGACGAATTTGACTTCACAATGCTGTGCTGTTGTGTGGTTGACGCACGTGCGAGTTTGTCGCTCTCGTGCCACGGTCATAGAAAATAATCCTGCATCTACCTGACCTTGGCCATGCTTTCCACAACATCTCGACCGGTCTAACCCATTAAAAAGAGATTGCCCTCGTCTGCCCTACTACCTCGTAGTCGTTTGACTGCTGGCATAGATCCCGTCACCTCCCGATCTGCTTGTTTCGCAAGCTCCACTATAGTCGCTCTACCTCGCTGCTTACGTACCTGACAAGCACTAGACTCCCTACAACATAGAGTGTGTTTTTATTCTGCGCGCTACCGCCGCCCTGACAGCTAATCAACTCCTTCCCTCCACCAACGTGCTTTTTTCATCCCCCTAGACGTTCGTTTTGAATATGGGTCGAGCAGATGCCGCACGTCCTCGGACTGTTTGTTGCGCGATTCCCATCGCACGTGCCGCTGGGAAAGTCCTTCTTGTCACGAGTCGGAAACGATCTCACCAGTGGGTCTGTGAGTACATTTTCAGCATTCACAGGCTCCACCCACACCAACTCACACCCCCCGCCCCACAGTGCCCAAAGGTGGCTGGGAGACAACAGACCCAACCTTGGAGGCCGCTGCATGTCGGGAGGCGTTTGAAGAAGGTCACTCGCTCTCGCGCCCCGCGTCCGCGTTCGTCGCCTTCTTACTCTCTCCTCGCCTTTTCCACCTTTAGCTGGCGTGCAAGGCAAAGTCACGCGCTCTGTGACGACAATTCCTGGGGCGACTGCCAACTATCACTTTTTTGAGCTAGACGTCGTCGCACTGGCCGACATGTGGGATGAGGCGGCGGAAAGGCGACGAGAGTGGGTGGATTTTGCTGAGGCGGTACGGAGAGTGGCGTGGAAGCCGGAGTTGGCGCAAGCCTTGATGATGTGTTCGCTCGCTCCGCCAAGACGATAGTCTGCAACAGTTGCACAACTAGTGAGTGATATTTTCGTTGTGTTGGTCGTTCACTAATGTCAAGCTTCCCAGACTCACCACTCCTCCAACCCCACATTAGATATTTTTGCATTCCCATCGCTTTTCCGTCAATCGAGCAGCATGCTGCATTCTTTTGTTGTCTGTCGATACAGTATACCCTCCGCCTCCATACTTAATCATTTATTCGGCGGGTGTTTCCAACGGTTGCGCTATAGACTTTTACAGGTGCCTTGGATGTTCAATTGCGTGCCGTGCTTGCCATTATTATTATATCATTGAATTACTGAATTACTTTGCTGTCAATACGTCAGCCGGCGGCATACCGAGGTGGCTGTGCCGGCTTGGGATAAAAATGACCGGAACCAAATTTTTGCAAGTTGATTCTTCCACAATCAAAAACGCTGCGTGATGACTCTCAGCAACGAGATGATTGGCCGCAGGCTCTTGGGCTTGTGCGCTATGATATCGCTCGTTCGGCACCTTACCTTGTACCTTCAAAGGAACGGGCGTAACTCTCCTGATGGCGTTTTTTGTTTGTGGAATGTCTTGGAGCTTTGAATGGCGGATGGATTTGTTGATTCTCTGTTTACGTACTAGAATACGAGCACTGATGTTGCGATTGCCCTTGTTGCTGCACTTGACCACACCTTGATGAGTTCGGACGTCGAAAGTCCCAGCGACAACGCTCCGCAAGACCTCCCGGTGAGGTTCATACCTCCTCTAGCCCATGAACGACAACGATGGATCAT